GGACGGCGCCGTGCGGCGCCTGGGGGTCGTTGCCGAGGCGCGCCCGCCGCGCGCGGTCGCTGCGGTGGCCGCTCGCTGGGGCCCCCCTGCGAGCTTGAGGGGGGAAATGAGACAGAGAAGGTCTTCTTAGAAGGCGGCGGGACTTCTCAGAAGCCCTCGCGCCTTTTGGGAAGTGTTCTGCGTCTTCGGGGAAGGATTAGAATATTTCTCAGAAGGCCGGTGGACTTTCAAGCCTTCCGAGAAGCCCGCCCTTTCTCACTTCCCCCCCGGGGTCGTCGCCGAAAAACTGCAGAAGCAAAACTTTTGGCGCTCGCCGTCAGGGGGGCCCAGCGCAGATCCAAAATATCCGCGCGTGGCGCCAACAGTTTATGTGTTTATGGTGATTGTGTTTCTTCTTTCGCGATGCGGTAGCAGCGGATTTTGCTCTCGGGTTTGGCCTCCTCGCGCCCCCCTGAAAGCCGCGCACCAGAGCTCGCTCTTGCCCAGGGTCACTCCTGCCTGCAGTCATCTCCGCTGGTGTCTTTCAACGCGGGCGCTGACGCAAGGTCCGCTTCGGGGTTCAAGTGGGTGCCTGTCAGAGGAGGAGAAAGTACCCAGTATCATTCCCTCGTTCTCCTCTTTTTGGGCCTCCTGGGAGGCCCTCGTCCCCACCGCTGGATTCGCCTCGGAATCCTGGTCAGAACACATTCTGGGAGAGGTTCTGGTTTCCGCAGTCTGGTGTTCGGGCCGTTCCGGAGGCGCATGCCGGGTACAGTCAACCCGCACAGTAAGGATGGGCAACCTTCCTGAGGGCACCCCGGCATCCTTGCCGCCTTGGTCCATCCTTTGGCACCTTCGCTAGCCGCGCCCCGCTCGAGAGGCTTCGACATGGGCGTCCAAGGCCCTCGCATCCTCATCGTGCACCCTTCCTGCACGGGCTGATCGTGCCGTGGTTCCGTTTGCAGCCTCGGCGGCGGGCGAGGGGCGAGCGGCGAGGAGGAGAGGCCCTCCTCGGCAGGCGGGGCGTCCCAGATGGCCTCGGGCCTCCTGCGAGGTGTTCGGGGTCTTCGGGGCAGGCTCAGAGCACTTCTCGGAAGGCCACGGGGCTTCCGAGCCTTCTGAGAGGGCCTCCCCCTTCTCGCTTCCCCCCCGGGCTCGCCGCCGAGCCTCGGGGGCCGCTCGCGGGAGCCCTGCACGGTGGAGATCCGCGCCAAGGGCTCCCTGCTCGCCTCCGGGGTGCCCTGGGTTTCTCGGGTTCGATTGCCTCCTTGTGGGAAGCGTGACCTGCCCACATCAAAAATCAGTGGACGCCCTGGGGTCTCAGGGTTGGGTGTCTCGTGGAAGGTTTATTGTGGTCGAGCCCCTAGTGTACCGCAGTTCCATTTTTAGCCAATACAGGCAACATTCACAGTAACGATGAGCGACTTGTCAACGTTTCCCGTGGATCCCTTCCTTTCGGCCCATCATTGGCCACTGTCGTTGGCCGCGCCCCGCTCGAAAAGCATCAGCATGGCCTTCCAAGTCGTACATCTCTCATTCTCTGTTTTGACTGTGTCGCTGAACCGGCACCCATCCTCCTCATCCCCATCCACCCCCCCACCCATCTCACCCCTCCCAGTCAGGGACACACCCTTCGAAACCCGCAGGAAACACCCCGTATCCCCATCTGGGGGGTAAGTGGAGCCCAGGCCACGATAGGAGTCGGATAAACGATGCTCAGTCTTGCAATTCCATCTTTAGAGTGTAGGATCGTGCACTGGCGTCTGGTAATCGATGAGAAGCGCTTTTTCGCGTCGATTCAGCGTCGACTTGGTGTCGATTAGCGTTGATTAGCGCCGGTTCGCGTCGAGTCCCACCAGCCAGCAAAGCAAGATGGCACAGGAGGCTTCCACGAGTTGCCACGTAACGCTGCCCGTTGGCGGAGACGTGATGTCATCAGGACGCTGAAAAGCCCGGGCGTCAGTCGATATGGTTTGTCCCACCGACCTGTTCTCCGCGAGAGTTCGGCCGGGTGGTCTCAGGTGGCCCAGCAGTGGTTCCGGCCAGCATGAAGCGGGGGCAGGTCCGAGTTTCTGGGTTCGTGAGGTGCGGGGCCACATGCGAGCCCTACCCCACCCTCTCCCTCAAAAATCTTGGGGGGCAGGGATGGGGTTTTCTAGTTGCTTGTTGCCTTCTTCGGCTTCCGCGGAGGCCGTGTCCGGGCACCGGGGCCGTCAAAAACGGAGCCGGGGTGACACATTACACCATGCTTCACTCCGGGGAGGGGTCTTGGGATGGATCTTCAGCGGATTTGGCTTCAGTCCCACCCTTCTGACAGACTCCTTCTGGCCCCAACCACGTTAGACCCCGGGGCGGCCTCCAAGTCGGGCCGCGGATGGAAGTGAAGCACGCCAGCGGACGGGTACGGTCAAGACGTCAAGGCGCTGAGATCTGCACCGCCTTGGGCTCTGGAGGTCGGAGGAGGGGCTCCGGTCTCCGGGCCGCTCCCTGCTGCGCAGTCGTGGAGTCGTGTGCGAGCCTCGGCGTGGCTGGAGGGGCCCTGGGCGTTCCCCTCTTCGGCGTGCCCTCTGGCAGCGCGATGGCCGTGCATGTCTGTGTCCACGGCCCCGCTGGCTGGGACGCCGACCGGGCCGCGATGGGTGCGGGGCGTTCTCTTGCGGATGCTCCGCGCGGACTGTGCTTTTCCATTGGGCTGCAGGAGGCCTGGTTCCCACAGGCATGACCAAGCCGAGATCGCGCGGATCTGGGCGTGAGCGGGTCTGAGTATACGGGTGAGCCTGAGTGCACGAGCGAGTCTCCGCGCATCCACGGCATCGCTCCTTTCGGGGTCCAGACCGCGAGGGCGTGGAGAGGTATGGATGCGTTCTCCTCGGGGGCGGCAAAGAGGGGGGCGATGACTAGGGGGGGTGGATATCATGGCGGGAGCCATGATATTTCCTCAGATTTCATGGCGCCTCCTCTTATTTCATTACGTCCCTGCCACCCCCCTGGGCCGCGCACGTGCCGGCGGTCATGATTTGCACCCCCCCCCTCATGGACACCCCCCTCTTGGCCGCTCCCGATCTCCGCCCGTCTGTTCCGCCGCGGGCCCCAAGCGGCAGGGCCCACTCCGAACCGACTCGGTATCGACTCCAGCCGGCCCGAGCCGATTCGACCTCGATGCTCCGACGCTCCGTTGCGGCCCCGTTCCTGCGCTGCGCCGCCCCCGCGCCCTGGCGCAGCCGAGCCAATTCGCTCTCGGCCCTAGGCCGATGATGCGTCTCGACACGATCAGCTGGTGATGGCTCCTGAAGTTGGCTGCGCACCACCCGGGTCCTCGCGCCTCGGACTTCGACGCCTCGAGCCTCGGACTCTCGACCGGCTCGATTCTTGATCCCCCCGCTTCGGTCCCTCGATCCCTCGAACTTGAACGAGGGATCCGGTGTCAGAGGTTATACATTACGGTCGGACCGAGGTATAAGATTGAGATCTGTTCAGGGAGGGTACTCTGAGGTTCTTCGTGTTTGTTGGATGTTTGTGTACATCTTGGGGGAAGGTACCGTCGAGGGTTCTTCAGTTTGGGCTGGCGGAGGGTCTCATGCTCTTGAAGGATGGCCTTCTGCCCCAGGCCCCGCCGTATGCAGACCGCAGATCCATCGCCTCGGAGAACGATGACCCGGGATCCCAGGACGCAGTGTCTGTGGACGGTTTCGGGCTCCAGGGGGCCCAGTGATCTCTATATCTGCTGCCTCCCGGGGCCCTGGCACACGGGTTGCCAAGGCGATGCATTTGTGTCGGGCCCTACGAGAAGCCTGGATAGGCAGAAGGGGTCGGGGTCACGACTTGTGAGGAAAATCCTGGAGTCCTCGCGCGGCAACTTCAGACCCGATTTACGCCGGTTCCACGTCGGATTTATGTCGGGTTCACCCTGGACTACGTCGGATTTACGTCGGATTTATGTCGGACTGGCTCCGGGGCATCGCCGCGCGAGCGTCGACCCATAGCTCACGGAACTGACGTGTGGACTAGATCATACTACCATTACGCGCCGCGCGAGGCCTCCAGGATTTTCCTTCTAATACGACCCCTGCTGCACGCAGATGGTTTTGGCTCTGCCGCCAGGCCCTCGGCTCGATGCGTGGCCGCCTCCAGCGCAGGGAGGCGCCAGGAGCACCGGGCCGACCAGATTGGCCGAGGGGGCCGGAGCAGAGGGGGCCGGAGCATCCCGCCGCGGGGTCGCGCGGGGAAGGTGCTTCGACGCGTCGCGGCCTGTCCGAGGCGCAGCACGAACGAAATGGGTGCGGAAAGAATGGGTACGATGCCCAACAGCAGTTCCTGCCCCTTCTCAACAGGACTCGCTGTCCGCGCCGCCGCGGCCTGTGTCCATTTGAGACAGGAGGCCGCCTGCCCAACAGTGGCCGCTGTTGGTTTGGGGCAACATGTGTTGTTGGGCATTGTTGCATTCTTTCCGTACCCATTTCGGGCGTCCAAACAGGCTTTTTTGAGTTCCGTGGCCCCCCCTCCAGAGCGGTCTCGACCCCACAGCGGCGACCCATGCCCAGAAACACTGTGCTTGCCTCCAGGGGCCCCCGGGTTCCTTGGAGTCCGAGGGTCTTGCCATGGAAAGCGTGACCTTCCCGCCCCAAGCATCAACGGACGTCCTGGGGTCTCAGGGTCGGGTTTGTTGTGGAAGGTCTCCAACTCTAGCTCTCACTCCAACTCTAACTCTCTTGTGGTCGAGCCCCTACTGCGCCCCCAGGATCCAGTCCCTCGACCCTCCCCCACCTCGGCCCCCCCCAAAACCCGAAGGGCCCCCTCCTCCTCCTCCTCCTCCTCCTCCCTCCTCCTCCTCCTCCTCCTCCTCCTCCCTCCTCCTCAGCTGTCCTGTGCCCGAGCTTTTGGGCATTGCACACACCAACTTCAGGACAGCATTGTGTGTGCGAGCCAGTTTTTTGGCTTCGGAATCTCTCTCGCATGGCCAAGAATGCTGGGCAGCTTCGCAGCAATGGTGGTGGGGCGTGGCCGACCCAGGCACCCTGGCGCGCAGGGTCGGCGGCCAGGGCTGGGCCTCCGTCGGGC